TCTACCAAGAAATCTCTACAAAACCAATTTGTCTTCTTGAAAAAAACACTTGATAGTATTACTCATCGTGTTTAGTAAATGATATTCAAGATTTACTCTCGGGCAGAAGAAGGTCGAAATGCCATTTCCAAAACATTGTGTTGCCACCTGCTGCCTATATCATATATTTTTTGAAACGTTTAAGGTAGCAAACGAACCCACACACATTTGCCTCATATGAAGATAGATGAGGTAAAAATTCATATTGTTATGAAGACCTGATTTGTTAATTTATTCAGTTTATTTGCAGCCCACATTTTATTGAAGCGGCAAACATGCTTCATGTTTAATGTAGCATTTAATGCGTTTGAGAATATTAGGCAATTTGGTTGACAAGGTAGCTGCAAATAAACTATACACAGCGGTTGAACAAAAAGGACAGGTTTCTCAATTTTAGAAATGAGCGAATAAACTTCCGGATAGTCGATGTACACTTTTTATTTAAGATCTAATGTAAGTTAAGAGGCATATTAAAACTGATTACCTGATGCACAGGCTCTACAAGTCGCTTCAAGGCAGCACTCTTGGTAACGCCACTCTTCCAGCTGCAATCAAATGGACCTTGTTCTCCAACTCAAGTTAAAAAGCCTCTTCCTCCTTGCCCCACATAACTGGGCCTGTAGTTTGGTAAATACCGGCATCTAAAGTAAATGCCAAAAACTAAATTTTGTACTTTTATGCTCAGTTTAGTTGCATCCTTAGAATTGCTTTGTGACATGAATTTCAATTTTCAAAGTAAAGTTGGTTGGAAGGAAGGCCCCGATGGTACTGTGGGCCAAGGACTTCTTCGCGCAATTCAACAGTCTTCCCTACGCGACAATGCTCATTCTGTTTACGATGAGACCACATCATGAATTCATTCCATCCAACTTTTCCTTCGAAATTGAGAACCATGTCACAATATTTCATTAAGGAATTCTTCAAAACTTAATTTTTCTTATAGCTTGGAACTGTTTGTTGTGGTTTTTCAGCCATATTAAATGAATTCGATCTTAGGTGGTGTGGTCTTAGGTTTGGTCCTCGTATTCGCAATTTGGCTAGACTACAGGGTGACCTGCATCCTCTGACCTCAGCTACCAGGTCAAGTCAACTGAATACCAGAGAAAATTCGTGTTTATGTCTTGGCTAGCCATTTAGAATCAAAATTAATAGGAATATAAGTACGCTACTCATGAGTAATATGCTATGAATTGATTATATTTTGTTGGGTTAATTCCACATTGTACATTATTGTACATTATTTCCGCTTACCTAAGAACTAGAGTTACCCTGGCTTTAATCGCAGATATGATCTCCTTTCAATTTATTGAAGTGGGTTGATTTTATTTTCGCAACTTGGTTTTATTGTAAAGGAGATTTGGTGGAACGCACCTTGTCCGAAGTCTCTGTCATAGAAGTCTACGGGAATTATTATAACTACTATGGCAGAGGACTTTGGACAAGGTGCGTTCAACTAAATCGCCCTGACAACGAGACAAAGCTGCAAAAACGTGGTTAACCAACTTTTACTATGGGTTTTTTAAGTGATACAGAGACTGACAATTATATTTCTCACAAGTACACTAGTAGGATGCTTTATCTGAGCTGCAGGTCGATGCATCCATGATTTATTTGAAATAATCAAGTTACAAATTCTCCAGTTTTCGATGAGGCCAAGCTACAAAACCTCTTAAAAACAAGATACAAGCTACAAGAATGTGAATTTATTGAGGGACTATTCGAAACCCTTTTTGTCTATATAACGACTCTTTAGTTTTGTTCTCATGAAATAGCTAGTTTTATCAGTCTTCGAAATATGTAACCCGTCCTTTGCACTAGTTGTTCTGAAATGCTCCAGCATCGTACCATTGAATGAGCTCACCCACAGGCAGCTAAGCTGCCTACACAATGTTTGTGAGTGTATCCAATCAAATGCTCGAAGCAGAGAGACGACATGACAACAATTGCGGAGGACGCATTACTGGTTACGTCTCTCGAAGACCCCTTAAAAACAATGTGAAGAGCAATCCCTTTAACTTATTTACAGTAAAAATGTTATTTTATTATGTAGGCCGGCGTTTCGTCCCCAAGGCGAGTAGATACGAAAAAGGTACTTGCCTATTTCGCAGACGAACCTAACTTTTCCTTTATCAGTTCAACTGTACAGGCAAAATAGATTGCTTTTAACTAAGTTGCATAATATGCAGGCATGGCAGCATGACATCGAGACTGCCATTAAAGCATCAACGATTTGTTGAGGGGGAGGAAGAGGAGAAGGAGGAGTTTGAGTAGGAGTAGGAAGACGAGGAAGAGGAGGCAGAGGAGGAAGAGGAGGAAGAGGAGGAAGAGGAGGAAGAGGAGGAAGAGGAGGAGGA